CTGAGACGGGAGGATCTTTGTGGCTTGCTGATCAGCCATCCTAGCCAAATCTACTATCTCCAGGTTCAGTGACAGACCCTGACTCAAAAATAGAGATCGACTGAGAAAGACACTCAATGTCCACCTCTGAGCTACACACACACACACACACACACACACACGATCCAGAAAAATCATCAGAGACTGAACCATGCTCCAGGGTCTACTTCTACCATAATATATCAAGATCCTGAACATTCAAGCTTCTCAAGCTGGCCCCATTATAAACAACACCGTCAGGTCTTACATCTTACCCTAGGCAGATGCGCAACCACCAATCCCCTCAAAAAAGTTCCTGCTGAGATCCTTGCTGACTCCAAAGTTTGCAGAACATGGAGGCTTTTGAACCCCGACTCCCAGTTTGTGAGCAGGGAGCTGAAGAAGAATTAAAACTAGAAAATCCAGCGGCCTGAGGAGAATCAGACTCCAGGAGTGGTACCTGGAGCTCACTGATGGAGACTTCAAATGCCAGAACTGGATGAGACAGTGCAGAATGTGGTCCAGTTCCCCTGTGTGGGGCGTGTACTGATGCTCTGAGAGAGGCCGTGAGGAAGGTTGTGAGGTCATTGGAGGATCTTCCCAGCAAAGCCCCGTGCTTTGTTTATGGTAAGCCTTACTCAGGGCCCTCAAGAATGGAGCTGCATACTACCCTTCCCTACCTCCAAGCCGAGCAGGAGTGGGAGAAAGCTGGTGGATGCTGGGCACCCCATGGTGGCCACACACAGGGAAAGCAGCAGCAGTAACCTGCAGGACCTCCTGTGGCCTGCCAGGCCTACCCCAGGGTCACTTGATGCACGTCACAAAGTGAGCATGGAGAAGCACCATGGCTCTGCAAGGGCTGCCTGCTCCCACATACACAGAAAGTATCGTATTCGTGTCTTTTCCGGATGTAAACTCCAGGTTTCCTGAAAGATAAAAAGTGTGCTCCACCCTGGCAGGAATTAGCACGCAGTCCACCTGGTGAGGAAGAGATGGCTGATTCTGTCGGTTCTGCACGGGAGAACCACACCTGCCTTTCCTCATCACTCAGAGGCAGGTGGCCCACGATCACTCCAGATTCTGATGAGGTAAATAGTGGGGACATTAGTGCAACTGATGACTTTAGGTTGAAGCCGAGACATACACATCAGAGAAGGGGGCGTGACGTCAGAACCCGTTCCTTTCCAACTTTCTTCCCGTAAAACAAGATTCAATCTTCAGAGCTGGGCTAGGACTGCACAACCAATCTTCCTGTGTTCTCCCAGTAGATGGCACTACCTCGTTTTAAACGTGGCTTTAGAGGAGCCTGAAAACTCAAGCTGGAGTCAGAACGGGGGCAGAGCCAATCATGAAAGAGGACAGCAGAAACGGCCAGTGCAACCGTCTGTCTTTAAATCACACTGGGGAAGCTTAAGACCTCCTGCATGTCATTTGTAATGAGTCGGATATCCCCGAGGGCCAGCATCACCTGCTCCTTCCACACATACAGTCTGACTGGGGCTGACTTCTTGGGAGCGATCAGGGACATTGTCATAACTTAAAGTACCCACAAGATGGCGCTGCTGCACGAAGGACAAGATGCTTAAGCAATTCCGAATCTTACAAAGCAGTATGAAGACTTGCTGTGGCAGAGAGAACCAAGGGGTGTGTTAATAAGTCTTGCGAGCCGATCTCTCGAGTTTGTGGTTATATTTCCACGATGTTGCTGCTTCTGCTGCTACTGTGGCTACCATCTAGTAAGGGGTTTCTGAGCACCAGGCACTGTGTTGTGTGCTTTACAAGCATGGCTTCATCCAAAGTTTACTAAAAGCCTTCTGGAGAAGCTCTGCGATGTCTCCAAGGACATGTGTCACGGGGCAGCCAGAGACGAGGACCTCTTGTACTTTCTCAAAAGGACTGACAGTGATTCAGTTCTGGCTGTACCCACAATAGTGAATAGGCTGGCTTATCTGTATAAGATGCAAACAGTTCCTTTCCCCATTCTGAGCATCTACTTTGTGTCAGGCGCTGGTTAAAGTGCTGAGGGAAAGGGAGTACAGAATCAGAGAAGGCCCTGCTGCTAGTTCTGAGACCACAGCAAACACCGGATCAGAGTAAATGGTATAGGAGGGCGAAGAGAGCTAGGGAGAAACAACCCATGTGGGGCATTTGAGGAGTCCGTGGTAAGCAAGACCACCACCCACAAGGGGCTCCTGAGAAGCAATAGTTAAATCTTCAGGGATGGACAGCAGTGAGCTATAGGTCTTAAATATATCCATTACAAAATTTAAACTGAGGCAGGAGAGTTGATTCACACCTGTAATCCTAGCGCTCAGAACACCAAGGCAGGAGGATTATGGCAAGTTCAAGGGCACCCCAGGCTATAGAATGAGATCTTGCCCCCCCCCCACAAAAAAAGCAAGGAAGAGAGGGAGGAGGAAGAATAGAAGAGAGAGAGAAACAATTAATTACATGCACAACAAAACCAACCTTTAGAAACTCGACCCTTCCTTTACATATCTGTCTTACCATAGCTATAACGCCAGTGGTGGAGTTTTCCTGCAAATAGCCAGAGAGTAAATATTTTAGGCTGTGCAGGCCTCAAGTTTTCTGTCACAGCTCTACAATTCTGCTGTTGCCAGACCCAAGCAGCATAGATGAGTGAGTGTGACTGTGTTCCACTAAAATGTCACTTGGGAAAACAGTATTGGGTTAGGCTTGGTCCCCAAGCAGTATGCAGTCTAGACTGGAGCGTTTCGAGTGGACACGCTCTGCACTTTTGTGAAGAAATCTTCTGTGTCCCTCTTTCTATTCATCTGCTGAGCTTTGATAGCTTGCAATGGCCAAGGTCTGGATGTCAATGCCACAAAATAAGCAAAGGGACCAGCAGGGTTGCTCCCATGTCCCCCATACTCTACCCTCACCCTTCCCACACTCCCAGCTCCCAGCCCCCACCTTTAAAACCTCTCCTAATGCTTCTCTGAGAGGACTCCTGACTTGCCAGGTCTGCCTGCCGTGTGACAGTTTGTTTATGATACAATGTTTCCCACTGTATAATCGCACCCCATGACAATCCCGAGCAGCCTTGACACTCTGTAGCCAACGGAGCACAGAGCTGAGAAGCACGCTGTGGGTGTAGGCTCAAGGTCTGACTGCATTTATTCCACAGGCTGGTGAGACCAACTGGCCACCAAGCAGAGCCTACCAGGGTGGCATAAAGTCTTGAAAAGTGGTAGTGTCCACAGATAAAATCCTTGTGTTTTAGTTGTCTTTTGTAATGAGAGCCCCTTGCTAAGAGAAATTACCCAGTTCCCGTAATGTGCAGGTGAGTCTTTGATCACCCCCTTGCTGTAACCAGATCCCAGAAACAACCCCTTCCATCAAAACTGAGCACTGGAAGGCAGTTTTCCCGCCACTGGCAACTCATCTAGACCTGCTGCTGTTCACCAACAGGTGAAGACATGCAGGAAACTGTCCCAAACTGTCCTTCCCTGGGACAGCTTCCCTCATCAACGTGGTGGGCTATTCTTTTGAATGACATCTGAAACATCTGGGGGTCACACACACTTTAGAATGTTTCCCTAAAAAAAAAATAGTATCTTCACGGTACCCATATTGGTATTTTAATTTTTTAAAATCCTTATTTTTATGTGTGTGGGTATTTTGCTTGCATGTATTTCTGTATACCATGTTGCATCCAGTGCCTTCGGAGTCCAGAAGAGGGTGTTAGATTTTCCTGGGACTGGAATTGCAGATGGCTGTGAGCCATCATGTGGGTGTGGGAAATATAACTCAGGTCCTGTGGAAGAGCAACCAGTGCTCTTAACCACTGAGCCATCTCTCCTGCCCCATATCAGTATTCTTTACTCAAACCTTCTCCCATCCTGCCTCTAATCCATCTCTCCTATATCCAACACAACTCTACCCTACCTTTCTTGAAAAGCTGGGCCAGTAACTTTTCCCCAGATGTTTCTACTTCCCCTTTGGAGCTTGCATCCACAACCTATCTTCCGCTAGAGCAGAAGGTTCCCATTAGGGACAACGTGTGAATTGCTTACCTTGAAAAACTCTGTCCAGAAGTGGTCCCAACTTGACCAATGGATAGAGCCCTGACAAATACCTCTGGGCCATCTACAGATATTCCCTTGGGCCTACATAAAGCACAAGCACCCTGAAAAAAAAAATCCCTGTGTAGACCTGACCTCCAGCCAGGATGCAGAACCCTTACTCTGACAGTGCATCGCATCCTTCAGATTGTGTCAGGGAGCCTGGCCAGAGGTCAAGGATAGGACCAGAGTTCCTCTGGCTAGGTCAGCTTCAACAAAGACTGGTTTTCACTTGATGTTCATATCCACAGATGGCCAATCCAATCCCTGTCACATCAATATGCCCAAATGCAAGAATGAGATCTATGAAAATGTATCCCAACCTTTGAATTCAGCAAAAGTAGAGCTGCAGAGCTGCCCATGCTGTTATCAGCATGATCATGTTATCAGCTGTGGGTTTTCTAAACAGAAACCTTGACGTATTACAACAGCAATATAACTCAGATCAGTCTAGCATCCCTTCCTGGATGCTCTAAGTGGCTTGGTCTCCAAGGAAGGAGGGTTTTTCATGTATTTTGTTACCTAAAAGAAGCCCAGAGTAAAATTTCAGTCCCTAAGATGTCATGCGATCATTCCCTGGGCATTACAGAGAAGTAGCCACATCCTTGGCAGCTCGTGGGCCCAGCACACACCCTCTGAAATGAGCAGCTCTGGGCCACATATCCGCAGGTGAGACGGCATCTCAGGAGGAGTAACCTGTGGTTGGAGGCTTAGAGGTGGTGGCGATGAACCATCTCCAGCTCCAGAGTGGGTAGTTGCCAAGCTATGGCCCAGAGCTGAATGATGGTACCCTGAAACACTCCCTAGACACAATATGTGCCTAGAAGCTTGATGAAGAACCAATTTCCATGTTCCCCCAACCCCAAGACCCTTCCCCTAAAGAAATCAAGGAGAAAGAACCATAAAAACTGTATTTTAATGATACAGAAATAGTACATGGTACATTTCTTTCCACAGCAGCACTTCATTCATCTCTAAGTTTAACAAAATTAAGGCTAAATCGGAGCATTCTGAGAGTAAGGGACTGTTTTATGCAATGTTACTCATGTTTTCATAAACAAAAGGATGTTCTTCAGGCAAAAAAAATGTTGAACATGATACCAGAAAAGGAAATGGAATACAAAATGTGTTCCTTTGGGTCAGCCTGATAATAACCATACCCCCCTAGGGAGTGCCAGTGGGATTTTATTAAATGAATGCTTCCGGTATGAGGGCAACTCTCCAGAGTTAACATTCCGCAGCACAAGGCTATTTCATAATATGAAACCAAAGACAGCTGTGTCTCCAGTCTAATCCCTTTGGAATAAATAACTAGTGAAAGTCAACAGTATTTAAAAGCACAAGAGAACTGTGCGGAGGGAGGCCCGTGGTGCCTGGAAGGATCATCCCTGCATCAACAGCCCTTCTCCCTCAAGTCTGCTAGGAAGAAAATGCGAACTAAAATGTGATGAGACGGAACCACAGCTGCCAGGACAGAGGTCAGGACCCCGCGGTACTCGTGAGCACAGCACTGCCATTTAAGGCCAGCAGCAAGGGTTTATCCCATTCCCCACTGCCCACTACTCCTGACCAGCTCTGCTGCTCAGCCTCTCACCACATCTGGACAAAGAGAAACCCTACAGGCTTCAGAATAAGACAAAGCATAGCCCTGCCCCCACCTCCAGCCAGCCCCCCACCCAGTAAGACAACCGACAAAAGCTCCCACGGGGGCTTCATTCCCTGACAAGAAGCCACACTCTGACATCTTTGACAAGAGGGCCAATGCCCAGCGCCACAGAAGCTTGCCGTCATGCCAGCCCTGTCTTCTGCTATGCCGGGCAGTTCACTGCCTCCTCCCACCCTTTTGTTCATAGTATCCACCTGACATCCTCTTCTCCACCTCCCCCAGCTACATTCGGAGCTAACCAATCATTTCACTGATGAAGAACTGGGGCTGGGGCTGGAATCACCAAACCCAAGGAGGCAGTTTTCAGCCACAGGTCTCCTCAGGAGCTACCTACGCTAAGAAGACACGCTATGACATGAAGATCTGTTATCCAGTGTGTGTGTGTGGGGGGGGGGGGTGCAGGTAAAATCTTCCCATGAATTTAAATGTTTACATTATTAAGCAGTAGAGAGAAATAAATTCAGTGATTTTTCCCTTCAGCATGAGAGTTTTGTCTATTTCTTTGGCTCCCAGAGCCTCTATTTCTATAGAAATAGGGTGGAAGGAAATATCCAAGTAAGTACCATCAAATATCCCCTAAGACTTACATATATTCCAAAGACTGTTAATCGCTATAGGAATAGAGGGCTGAGGTACACATACCAAATGCACTTATTATATAAGTTCACATGTAAACACAGATAAACAGTCAATACCCACTTCTGCACACTTACATAAAATAACTGCTACAGACAACAGCATTGTTTGACCCCATAGTCACAGAAAGAGAAAGGGTCTTTGAAGCCTTCCAACCTTATGATTCCATACACACTGGACACTGGGTTCTGTTGCTGAGCTTGAGCTGAAATTTCCTACCTCCAACAGGAAATCAGATCTATTAGGCATGGTCTGGAACCTTGACAATTTGCCCGTTTTCCCCTATCCAACTGCACAGTCCAACCCCTTCATCATAGAGAGCAAGAACCTACAGCTCAGGAAGTCAAGGTGTCGTCTGGCTACAGAGCAAGTGGTAGAGAAAGGACCCAGGTTTTTTGTTCCTCAGTCCTTTACTTCCCTGCTACACTACATTGTCTCCAAAACTGGTCCCCAGACAGGTCTGTCACCCACACCTAGGCTAAGAAGTCATCAACAGATGCTCTGGTGTTGAAATTAGGCAGTAAGCTGTATGACAGCAGAAAGCAAGTCTCATAGGCCCCATGCCATATCCTAGCCACCTAATAAATGTCCAATAAATACTTGTTGGCACATGTTCACCAAGGCCAAATACTGTATTTTGTACTCCTGTCTCAGTGTAGGATAATGCAAACAGATACAAAATTATATAGCTGCTTGCTAAAATCCAGCCAGGAGGGCTGCTACTCCTGAATTTATGAAAATGCCACATTCAGACACCCAGAGAGTTGACAAGCTCCACAAGAGTCAATCCTTTGTCCTCCTCTGTGCTCAGGAGGGTGTGTAGGAAAAAGAATGAGCCCGGCCATTTACCTAAGCATTTGGCAAACATATAATACAAAACCCTAAGTTACTCTAAAATGCATAGCAACTATCAAAAGCTGCACTATACAGATACCTATTTCTGTTTTTCAAAGCATTTGCCCCATCTTAGAAAACATTATCTTGGGAATTGAGTTGGACTCTCTATGAAACTGGCAGTGAGGAGCTAGACATTTAGCTTAGGTATTAAAATGTGCCTGGTCCCCTTCCCTCTCCCTCTGCCCATGCCCCTGATTCTCCATACACAGATACAGATTTACTTCAAGGTAGAGAAACATGAATTTTTTTGTTTGTTTTGTTTTGTTTTTCAAGACAGGGCTTCTCTGTGTAGTTTTGGTGCCTGTCCTGGATCTCGCTCTGTAGACCAGGCTGGCCTCGAACTCACAGAGATCCACCTGCCTCTGCTTCCCGAGTGCTGGGATTAAAGGCGTGCGCCACCACCACCACCTGGCCGAGAAATATGAATTCTTATATTTTCTCTTTGTAGCTATGGATCATAAACCATGTTGTAAGTAAGATGACCCTACTATACTATCATCTTGATAAGGAAAAGGATAATCAAAACATTTTAAAAGGCAATGGGAAAACAGCACAGAAAACCTAAGATTTAAATTAATCAACAGGCACACGTCTGCACCACCTAGTGCAGCCCTATTACCCCCGCAGCAAACCAGGCTCTGCTGGAACCAGAAACGAGGAGGGACTATCCAGAGGGACAAGAGAGCATGAGGGAATGCTCCTGCTGGCCTGTGGTCCTCAGGCCTCCCCAGCCACCGAAAGTGGGCCCTTCACTGTGTGCCCCCACTCATCCACTACTGCTAAAGAACACAGTGCTGCTTTGAGAAAATCTTGCTACAGATTGCCTACGGACATGGTCCTGCTCACTCATAAAGTGCCACCCCAACTTTGGAGGCACTGTCAAACAAGCTGTGAGTCCTCTGCTCTGAAAGCCAAGTAGCTAGTCTCTCTTGACATGGATTTTTGCCTCCATTTCTACAATTAAAACAAACAAAAACCGCTTTCCCTCACCCCTCTTTCACTGTTAAACCAGTATTGCCTATATACAGATTCATGATCATTCCTCAGTTAAACCTTTCAAAGTCACACTAACGGCCTCATTCAATACACACTTATTACAGGGTGACTGGACTCTGGGTGGTCAGTCCGCAAGCCTCAGACCCTGTGCTGGCCACTCTCACCCGTCCCAGGGTGATGGAGGCAAGGTTAGACCATAGCTGGAGGTCTTCACTGCCATCTAGTCATGGCAAGTCACCACTAAGCCTAGGCACTCAGATATACAAAAGTCTGTGCAGAATTTATGTTCTTTTCTATTGCAAAAGTACAAAGATTACAAGATGGAAGAACTTTTGTGCCTTATGATTTATAAAGCTAATACACACTAGCAAAATGGAATAATAAAACCAAGGAGCAAAGTGCCTTTAAAAATAACAGCAAGATTTATAAAGACTCCCTTTTGACATTAAATAATTTATAAAGCCATATGCTACACATACAACACCTTCTCTGTCTTTCTGTAAGGTTGAAATATTATTCCAGAGAGACAGCAATACCACAAAACAACACTCAGACAACAAACACCCCTCAGTGCCGGCTTGTATACTTGATAGTTCTAGCGGAGAGCATCCACCGTGGTCTATGCACACACTACACGCAGTGCTAAGACGACATCCGTCTTCTACTTCTTCAGTCAGGAGGAGGAAGCTGTCACTAACATTCCAGTTACACAATGATATCACTGCCATTATTTCAAGTCAAACAAAAGTGACATCAGTGAGTATAAGGTTCTCTGATCAAATCAAATCACAGTCTTACTTAAATTAAGAGAGGTTCACTTAAATTAAAAATAAAATAATTTATTTGCAATGAGAATTTTAAATATCTAATACATCTTTTCAGGAAAATGTTAGTAATGTCTCTAAGCCAACTTTATTTTCTCTGGACCATGTACCTATATAAGAATATATTATCTACTTACCACTCCAGTCACTTCATAAATCACTGTGCCTTGTTCCATAAATACTTAAGAGCTCCTACAGAAAACCTGTTAGATAAAGGTTGTTACCATGACTGAGATGCTCCAATTGCTATGTACCCTAATCCTCCAAGATGACATCAAAAACAGACATTTTATAACAAAGTCACTCATTTATCTCAAAACCAGAACAAATAGAAAATAACAGCATGAAAGGAATGTCAGCATGTTCTGACCACTGCTGCAGGAACACAGAAACTTGGCAAAACACAGACATGCAGGAAATCAGCACTAGGTAGGAAAAATTAACAATTAAACTCAGCACACCTTCAATAACTGGAGTAAAGGGAGACTCTTAATAAAGCCGTATTATTTCTTCCTCAAGGCAATCAATAGCTACAAAAGAAAAATTATTTCATATCCTTGGTCCATAAGAAGAAATATTTATTTACATCCTCAATGGACTAAAAGATGTTTCAGATGTCACAATTAAAATTGTATGCTTCCAAAAATATCATATCATCAATGCAGTTAACTTAAAGTTTCAGGTATTAATAACTTCATTTAGACTTCTTAAAAAACCAACACAAACATACTTCCTAGAGTGCAAAATGCTTCTTATTAAATACTTCAGGAACACAAAAGCAATTTGTTTGGAAACACAGGAATCCTTTGCTGAAGGGCCATCATCACAAAAGACACCCATTGCCGGCAATGGGCACCGGACAGAACCGCCAGCTAGAGGAAAACACAGCGCTAAGCTTTGTGCTCGGTCTCTGCCCATTTCAGATGACCTGTTATTTGTACAAGCTCATGGTTGGACTCTGGTACATGCACATGTATGCATCACAAAGAAGTCTGCGTGCACAGCCTTGAATCCTTCTGGAATCCAAAGAGTGCAGGTCCTCCAGAGACATCTTCAAGTACTCTCCCACTTCCGGGCAAGGTGTCACTTGTGGAATGTTGAAGCCATTCTGACCACCTAGGAAGAGAAGAGCTCTCTTTAGGGCAGCAAACTTCAAAGTCCTCTGGGCACCCTGTCCCCCTATAACAATTATACTATCCTAGAATTTAGTGAAGACTGAATCCCAAAATCAAGGGGAAAAAAAACCACCTTTGACTTTCAGTTTCTAGAATTATAGTCTCCTTTTTGGCTTCTGAGAGGGTTCAGCAGCCAAAAGTGAGTAAAATTGGTAAAAGGATATATATTTAGAAAAGGCTGCAGCCCTGATTTGCAGGCTGCTACCCATGTGTGCACACACAGTCTTGGCCCCTCATACTTTTATGTCCCTCCCAGATACTAGCAGCCTTACACTCTTTTCCACAAGAATATCCAATTTTGAGCAAATTTAGTAATTTCACACTACCGTTTTCCTAAGTTTTAAGAACATACTTGCACACCTCTAGCACGGTTTGTTTATATACTGATCATCAGAATAGGCATGTGCTCTGACGATCGCATTTGCTCTCCCAAGTGCTTTCCCAAATGTCATGCTGCTAATGTTAACTGGGTGAAGCACATGCAAGGAGTGGTGGGCTGCACCCTCAGGCATCTGAGAGATGAGGAGAGATGGGAACTGCTGGTCTACAGCTTGTGCCTCTGGTTATTAGAGAGCCACACCAGAAGACCCGGGGGGACTAGGGCTTGGGAGAATAGCTGTAGAGAAAATGGGGCATTCAGGGGTACTGTGACCAAGACCCCTCAAGGTCCTGGCACTCAAGTGTGTACTAAGTAATAACTAAGCTTCCTAAAAACAGCTCACTGGGTAAAGGTTTCTTCCTGAAATGAAATGCATGAGATCAGGAAGACTGAGTTAAATACAAACGATGCAACCTTCACCACCTTCAACTTTAACTGAGACAACAGAAAAACGGGCATGATTTCCATGACCAAGTATTCCCACAGAGCTTAGCATTTATGTCCTCAATAAATGCCTACTACGTTAACAGCTTAGATGCAAGACTGTAAAACATCGGTAGCGAACTTCTGCCCTCCGGGGTTCTCCCATTGTGCTGTAAGCCTGTATTTAAGACCTCCTCCCTCCTTCAATAAAAGGCATTAAAAAAAAACATAAATGCCTACTATACTGTATACAAAAAGGAAAGAAGTAGAATTTTAAGATTGTTCGTTTTTTGTTTTTTTTGTTTTTTGAGGTGGGACAGCCTGAAACAGGTTCTCTCTGTGTAACACAAACTGGCCTCTAATTCACAATCCTCCACTTCCCAAGTCTGGGGTTATGGACAGGACTCTTTAACAAACCTGTCTAAGGGCCAAGACGTCACAACATTGTTTCTTAGTTTGAATAGCAGAATTACTAATACTCTTTGAAGATTAAAATCTGTAACACTATGATATCCTTCAAAGAAGTCTCTCACAAAATACCCTATTACTACAAACAAGTACTCTCACTAGGAAGCACCTCACCCCAAAAGAAAAGTTTTAAATACCATCTCTATCAGCCATGCTGTCAAAGAAGAGCCAGGCAGAGTCATCCTTCCCATACTTCACAAAAGCAACATAGTGGCTCGTTTCTATGCAGAGAACAGCAAATAACTCCATCTTCTGACAGGGGATGCAGCCATGTCTCCAGTCCCAGTCAGGCAAGTCTTTGGGAAGTGATACTGGGTGATATGTATGATTCAACCTCCTGGGATGGAGGTGAACCTAAAATAGACCATGAAGAAAATGTCACACATGAGCTAACACTATGTTTCAAGGGGCAGACTCTAATCCTTTCACTGATCATCACATCTCTTAAAAACAGTCAAGTACTTCACACACACACACACACACACACACACACACACACACACACACCAGCAGAAGAGAATGTTTAAAGTGCACTTTGACTCTGAAAGGCTTTCAAACCCTGCAGTGTTCTGGACCATCAGTAGCTGATTGCTGCAGGGCGGATCCACCAGTGAGTTATGATTACCTGAGTGCTGCAGGTCTTACAGAACTGCTTGATCTTCCCTGCTGAGATGTCAGGGTCATCATAGCACTCTCTACACTCATACATTGCAAGTCCTCCACAGATGCGGCACTGCCTGGGAGCTACCGTATGCAGAGAGGGAAGGAAGAAGCCTTTTAAAAGTATATTCTGTCATTCAAAATAAAAGCTATACTTTGAAAACAAGAATGCAGTGGGGGTGCAGGGAGAAGGACCTAGCCCTCTCTGACCCTCTTTCATTTGGATTTTCTTCTATTTAATATTTTTTAAGAACACTCTTTTTTTCAAATAACTGTTTTGTTAACCTATTCTAGAATTGTTCCTCTGGTCATGAACTGTCCAAAGAGACCAAGAAAGTATAAAGAAGGCCGACAGCAATATGATTGTAAACAAGACAGGAAGTGACAATCATTGATTGCCACTATGAACTTTCTCTAACAGTTTCATGTCTGAATATTTATGTAACTGTGTGCACCCAGGTACACATGTATCTCAAGCATCTCTCATCTAGCCTCTCAATGCTCTCCCTTCCACTAACTACCACACACATTGCTTTGACATGTGTTGTCCTCAAACCTGTGGGTTTTAATGGTAGTACATGTATTGTTTGGATATATAATCCAATTAACCACTTCCCTCTTATTAACATTTACTTGTCTCTAATTTCTTGTCATACAATAATTTTGCATTTAAAGTGTTTATTTTAACCTCTACTTTTTTTCAGAATAAATTCTCAGCACTCAAATTATTGGCTTAATATGCCAAGGTCTTCAGATACTGAATTACCTACCAAAAGTACTATAATTAATGAAAAGCCCAGGCCAACTATTTCTAAATAAAACCTAAACAAACAAAGGACTGTATACTTACTGTCTTCAAGCAAATCTGTTATATTTAATTCCAGAGAAGGAAAAATTTTTTTAAATAGCTTAAAGTCTTTTCCAAACCGAGGCATCTGGATAATCAAGCATGATGGTGCCTTAAAAAAAAAGAAAAAAAAAAGACAAATAGTTTTAGAAATCAAAGTCCTAAGTAGCTGGGTACTCAGCTAAATGTAGTGCCTACCTAGCATGCCCATAGCCTTGAGTCCTATCCCCTGTAACTCATGGAGGAAACTTGTAAAAAACAAAAACGTTTCCCTATGAATTTGAAACAGTCATGGCTGTCAAACCCAGCAGTGCTTTTACCAGTGTTGCTGGCCCATGAAACAGAGCCCACTTGTGAACGTGCAATGTGAATGCAGAGCAGCAGCAAGCTACAGAATTTCCAGACTTGATGCTACCTATACATCAGCAAAGAAGTAAGTAAAATACCACCTCAGAGACGAACATGATAAAAACAGACCACAGCATGCACTGCAGAAATTATACATTCAGACAGTAAAAGAAACTTTTCTATCACATTCAGTAGCAAACCTATACAGAAAAATTTACCGGCATTTTATCTCTTAACAAAGGGAGAAAAGTAACATTACCTTTGACATGTTTAGATAATATGTGTGGGTAAAATGACAACTAAAAACATAAACATGTATGTGTATGTATATCTTTGGTATTAGGCTACTTTAAAGTTAAAAATTAGCTTTTTTTTTCTTTTGGAACCCAAATCCAAAACATTCCAACTTAAGCTAAGGGGCTTTCTTAAAAAAGAACAAAGTTGGAACATCATTTTTTTAAAATGTAGTTTCTTCAAACTATTCTTGCTTAAAGCACAGTGAGAGCTGGGTGTGGTTCAGTGGGGCAGCACTTAGGTAGTGTGTACAAAGTCCTGGTTTTAATCCCCAGAACTGATAAGAAACAAAATAAAGTAACAATAAAAACCCAGTTAGAATCACTAACCTCAGCAAATTTCAGGTTGCTGTTGATAAAAGACCATTCTAGTAACTGCTGAATTGTAGGAACTCCAACTTTCTCATTTTTTTCCATAAAAATTTGATAGAAGTTACAGTCTTGAACTTTTTGACCTGCTGATCTAGGAGCATGAAGAAAGAAATGCAATAAGCTATCTATTAAATGCCTGACTCAGTATATGAAGCCATCTGACAGGACCTGAGAATACGATACCAGAATGCTGATGTACAGCCTTGGATTGTCCAAATGCCAGGTGAAAGGCAATGATTTGGATGAGATAATTAAATGCACTTATGCAGAAGACCTCGTAAATTATTTCTTCTGCCTTATGTATAAATTATTCAAAAGTTCTCTTTGCCATCACAAGAAAAATGTAAAATAATATCCCAGTCAAGAAACACTATATGAACAATAATCAATTTGATTTCTCCCTCCAAATCTAGAAAGCAGCCACTGCTTTTAAAAAAAAAAAAATTTTATTTTATGTGCACTGGTGCTTTGCCATGGGTGTCAGGTCCCCTGGAACTGGAGTTACAGACAGTTGTGAGCACTGCTTTTAATGACTAGAACAAATGCTTAAATGCCTCAACGACAGACTCTTAGACCTAGAGCAAACTTTCTTATTCCCTAAAATAAAGACCCTAGACGTAGGGAAGGATAATTTCCTAGTGGTGTGAAGCCCAGGGACCCTAACAACTGTCCTCTAGCCTTTCAGTCACCAGGTGCTCTTTAGATGGTCACCCACTGACTTGACAAATACAGGGAAACCGTCTACAAACACCCACCATAGTGAAACACGTGTCCAACATCTCCCTTCCCTTACCAGCTTACTAGTAATCCTTAAAACTAATTCTACTAAGAAGATTGTTTTTAATCTTTCAGTTTACTACTTATCTTTTTTAGCAGTGTCTGGGTTTAGAATCACCTTGTTTAAATGTATATATAGATTTTAAGAGTTTTAGAGAAAAATATCAGCAAAACCTCTGTAATTCAGAGAGTACCCTATAGTGATCTTCAGCTTCCCTAAGCAAACTATGTCCTGAATTTACAAAACTTAAAATCTGGTAACAAGCTAGAGCACCCAGGGGAGAACTCAAAGCTAATAAGAACAGATTATAATCCAAGAAACCAGCAGTTATTCTAGAATAACATTATTTTTTTCTTTTTTCTTTTTTTTCTTTTTCTTTTTTTTTTTTTTTTTTTTTTTTTTTTTTTTTGGTTTGAGACAGGGTTTCTCTTTGTAGCTTTGGTGCCTTTCCTGGAACTCACTCTGTAGCCCAGGCTGGCCTTGAACTCAGAGAGCTGCCTGCCTCTGCCTCCTGAGTGTTAGGATTAAAGGCTTGCACCACCACTGCCCGGCTAGAATAACATTGGTTGTTGATAACTACAAAAGCTAAAAAGTTATAGAAAAAATTCTTTCAATATATACTCCTCACAGTGGGGGCAGGGGCTGTCTCTGACTCTTTTGCCGGCTTTTGGGACCCTATTCCTCCTACTGGGTTGCCTTGTCCAGCCTTAATATGAGGGAGGTGCCTAGTCTTCATATGCAACTTGATACACTATATTTGTTTGATATCTGTGGGAGGCCTGTTCTTTTCTGAGTTTTTGTGAGTTTGAGGCCAGCCTGGTTTACAGAGCGAGATCCAGGACAGGAACTAAAACTACACAGAGAAACCCTGTCTTGAAACCCCCCTCCCCAAAAAAAATTTTTTTAAATTGATTGCTTCTTATTTTTCTTTCCTAAAACATAAAATATTCTCTTTTCTATATGCTTAAAGGAATACAAAAATGTTGCTGGTTTTCCCATGATTACTTTTTACATGGCTAGATTATACATTCTTTTGTGAATTCTTTGTAGACAATTTTAGGATTTTTCTAGGCATATATAAAACAATTACCAACTCTGACTTGCTAATAAGTATGTACACCCAATGCTTATGCATCATGTCAGTTCATTTGTTAGAGATTCCCAAAGAGTACCAAACTTGAACTGTGGTACTTTCCTTGCCCACAAATCAGTTTAACATGGGTTCAAATCGCATCACTTAGACACAGAGGTAAAAGAACTCATCAGTGTTGGGCTATTAAGGCAGTGGACAGCACAGTCCTAAGGTGTTCACCAGAGAAACCAAGACTGAAATTGAGAGGGGTCCACCAGACTGTGACCACTCAAATGACCTGGGAAGCTCAGACATTTAGAACATCTCACTAAGAACCATATCGCAGTAAATTCGGGTATTCTTTCAACACGGGGAAAAGGAAGAGATTAAGTTACTAAACTGAGAACTAAAGAGCTAATTTAAGGCTAACTTAGCTCTGTAAGTGATGGGAAGCCAAAAACAATGTTCCCACGTTTTGTTTTTTTTTAAATTCAGTTAGAATAAGATTCTTTTTAAACACTGATGAAGTATCAGTAAAGACTTCATTCCTACTGAGCATGGCAGTGGGAAAGAAGGTCTATTTCCCTAATGTTCCCAGACAGCTTGAGAGTTACCTGATTTTTAACAATGGTTCAACCCTTAAAATATCATGAAACAGAATATTTAGAAATTCTTCAGGATCTAGGAGAAAACAAATAAAAAAATTAAGTAAATCACAGGAAAAGTTTAAAAACCATTCTACTCTTTATGACAGACACATTTCTACAAGAAATTAGTTTCATTCATTCAGTATTATTTCAATTAAAAGTTTAGTTTTTTCAAGTTTTCCTGACAAGAGAAAACTTTTATTTAAAGGTTATAATAAAACATTACTTTTTCATTTTGTTGTCATGTTGCCCTGTTTAATAGAATATACTCATCCACACACAGTGAAATCATTTTTATGTCTTTTGGGGGGTTTCAGTAAAATAATACCTGATATATGCTCTATGTTTCCCTCTATTTAAGTAATAGCCACATGTATAGATATCACAGCTAGTTATAATATACTGTTAACAAACTCAAAAGTCAGAAGTTGAATCTGAGCAAATTCTTCAGTTGTGAGTAGACGGAAGTGCTGGCCAGCTGTTCCACAGACCCTTTCAACAGGAGCACAGTGGGAAACTGAGTGCTCAGGACACCCCTCGCCATAGGAAGAGAAGCAACTCCAAATACCACTGCAGGTGACAAGGAAAGCCCTTTACTTAGTCATCTGCTGTAGAACCAGCCAGCCTTTTTTTGTTTTGTTTTGTTTATTTTTGTTTTTGTTTTTGAGGCAGGGTTTCTCTGTGTAGTTTTGGTGCCTGTCCTGGATCTTGCTCTGTAGACCAGGCTGGCCTCGAACTCATAGAGATCCGCCTGGCTCTGCCTCCCGAGTGCAGGGGATTAAAGTCGTGCACCACCACTGCCCGGCAGCCAGCCGGCTAGCCTCTTAAAGAGTTGTTTCACCAGCACATCTACTTTAGAAGAATCACCAAATCAGGAGAAATATGTATATCACATAGAAAATAAATTTTTTCATTTATTTTTGCAGTGCCTGGAATGAAACCCAAGGCCTCTTGCATACTCTACCACTGAGCTATATCCCTAGCCCTCTCAAATAATTCTAACTTAAAATTAACCCTCTAAACTAAACAGGTATATTTCAGGAAATAATTTAGCATATTGTTAAATAACATACTTTCAAGTTATTTTCAATGTATGTATTATAAATTAAAAGGGTCACCTTTTTCTTCAGAGGTAAATCCTGATGCAGCCTCAACTTTTTCAAGTATTTTCCTCAGTTTCATAATTTTTGTGGCACACACATATCCATATCTACGTTGATAAAAATGAATTAATTGACACTGGCACAGTGAGTTATATGACACATCTTAATAATCAAATACTTCTCATACAATTATAACATGTTACGCCAACAACAGATATGGCATTTATTTTTAAGAATTGTAGGCTTCTTACAGAACTTTGAAAAGTCAAACTCTGAGAACCAGAATTGTTCCCAGATCCTATTAAACACCTCAAAAATAACTACCATGTACTAATACAATTCTGAACTTTTTGTTTGTTTGTTTTTTTCAAGAAAGGGTTTCTCTGTGTAGTTTTGGTGCCTGTCCTGGATCTTGCTCTGTAGCCTCACACTCACAGAGATTCACCTGGCTCTGCCTCCCGAGTGCTGGGATTAAAGGCATGCGCCACAACCGCCTGGCCAATTCTGAACTTTTTAAAAAGACTTGGTGAATGAGTTTTAAATGGCATTTGCTTATTATATTAAAATATTTATTTTACAAAACAAGATGTCCAAATTTTAGGAAGTCCTTTTAATATGCAGGATAAGAGACATGGAAAAGGGAATTGATGATACTAAAAATCTATAAAGTCTTACCCAGTCAACATAATTACGACATTTTCTTGACTACAGGAGACTATGGGCTTAAAAAAGCAAGTCAGAGCCAGCTAATCACACCATGTACCTGCTTTTTAGAGTGACTATTCACTCACTTGTTAGCTCTTTGCAATCAGCATACACTAAACACCTACCACTTATGTAATGATATATGTAGGGCACCAGGAATACAAAGGGAGAAGATTAAAAAAATAAAACAACAACAAAAACAGGGTCTCTGCCTGTGGGAAGCTTCCAATAGAGAAAACAAAACCTCTGTCCAAACAACAGATACAAAGTTTGCAGACACAAGAAGTATATCTCAAATCTCTGGGCTCAACTGATCTTGCCGTAGCCTCTTAAGCTATCAAGTGCTGGGATTACAGGTGTATACCACCATGCCTGGCAAGATGCATCTTGGTTTCATAGGCCATCTGGAACTCTTTCTTGCTGCAGAGTGGGTAACAAAGTATGATAACTATGATTCTGGATTGGTTGGGCAATAGCATGCAAAGAACACTTACCAATAGATACAGTCTATTGGTTATTACAGTAGGTCATTTGGAATACTCTTTTATTTCCATATTTTGTTCTTCCTTAAATATATTAATTTTTATTTTCATTGTTAGGAAAAGTGTATCACAAAATTTCAATTGATCATAACTAGACTTTAAATTGTATAGTTGTTTTCTATGTTCCTATCTGTTTCATGATCATTGGCTAACCTAACTCTTCATCACATAAATGTCTTGTGATGTTATCACACATCAGCACTATGTATCAAAGTCTTCCTTCCCACATGATCTTCTGTACATTTACAACTCACCTTAGTAAAGGAGTAGAGGAAGACCTAAATACAATCTTTTAAACAAACAAAACACCATATTACTTTAATACACCTCATCGGTTTCTAGTGCAGAGTGCCATTACTAACTTGTAATGCATGATACCAAATGGTTCACATCATTTCATAGAATGCACTAAGTTCTATACACTGTCCAGACTTAAGAAAGAAATAAACAGAAGAAGAGTAAAGGTTTTAAAAAGTTGGTATTTCATGAGAACTAATTTCTGTTCTTTCTTTCTTTACTATATGGGCACAGAGCATAAATTAATTACTATACAAGAAAACAGCAAACAGAACACCAACTAAAGACAAAACACATGTCTTCTACTTACATTCTCAGAGGATTAACTATCTCTGTCCTTAGTAGCTCTTGAGTCTCACTATAATACTCTACATCATTCTTTTCTTTGGGTCTAAGTAACACAGTGTCCAGGGCAGAACTAAAAGCAAATAAGCTGCAAAATAAAAAGAACATTTTCCCTCATGTTAGAAACACAATAATATTTGAGAAAGTTTCTTAAAGGAGTCAGAAAGGAAAAAGAACAGTGTACCACTGGCATAAGAACCCATCAGACAGCACAGGCTGTGTTCAGCCGTTACTGCCCAGAGACCCTGAAGGTCCAGACCAGAAACACCAAGACTACACCACACACGTGAAGGATAAAAACATGCCAGGGAATGGTATGAAAGAAACTTGTTTGCATAAGCCAAGAGAGGCCTGGAAGTCAGTCACACAGAGACAACATGGGTAGAAAGTTGGAGATCACTAGTCAGGGCAAATCCATATAAACACATAAGATATGTGTTTCCTTAAAATAACTTGTGAGTGACTAGCAACAGAAAATTGCTAGGATCAAAGAAAATAAAATTTGACTAAAATAAATTTTTATCAGAAAAATATTACTAAGGAATATTGTAGTAATGTTATAAGGTCTGTTTGTTTAATCAAAAGTATTCCACCAACAGAAGACCCACCACCTTTATTGTGTTCTCTACTTTTAAAATTCTACCATCCATGCTAACTTCCTGCCTCTTGTGGTAGAGAGCTAGCAGAGCCACTTAGTTTAACTGGCAGTGCACAGTCCTTAAGGCTCTCTATTCTTGGTTCAAGCTTCAGAGCCTAATGACCCTTGTCATATTAACTTGCTCCACTTTAAGAAAAACTACACAGAGGAGGGGAACAGTGATCCCATGGAAAATGATTTTGAATATAAAGAATTTTTATGATCCTCTCGATATACTAAAACATGCAGCACACAATGCCTATGGCTAACCGCAGGTTCCTTGGCATACAGGTTCCTGCAAATTTTTTTTACTTTAGTTAACTGCTATTTATCTAGGCTTATAAAAAGGCTATTATTCACTTTCAACATCACTCCCTTCATACAATTATACTACACTGGAGGCAGATGTCCTTAGAGTATCTGTCCACAGGGACCACTGCTCCTACTCATTATTCACTGCAGTGTTTTATATTAGTGCTGTGGATCTAGTTCAGGATATGAAATTCTTTAGCTACCAAGGACCAAATCTGGTGATCTTTCCCTAACTCTGTTAGATTCTCTACTCAAAGGCACCTGGCACCTCCTTTCACATACACACACTACCTGTCTCCCCTCTCCCCCCACCCAGCACCATCTACACACACACACACACACACACACACACACACACACACACCCCTACCTATCCCCTCCCTGCCACAGCACTATCTACACACATAAACACACACCTACCTGTCCCCCTCCCCCCCCCAGCACTACACACACACACACACACACACACACACATACACACACACACATACACACACACACACACACACACACACCCCTACCTGTCTCCCTCCCACACACAGCACCATCTACATACATACACATACCTACATGTCTCCCACCTCCCCGACACAGCACTATCTACACCTACTGCAGAAAACAGGAACTCACCAGAATAAAGTTGAGTCTAAGTAACAAGAATTGTAATGGCCCTGGATGCCTTTTTTCTTTCCAATCATTATCTCTAAACCTTCCTTTTCCATTCTTGGTGGAGTATTTTCTTCTACTACTTCACTTAAGTAGCCTCCAAATGCTGAAAAGATAAAAAAATGAAAATAATTATTTTAAACCATGATATTATATATTCATATACATGTACACATATGTATCATTTAAAGTATATTTTGGCATCCTCTGCAAATTTTTTTTACTTTAGTTAACTGCTATTTATCTAGGCTTATAAAAAGGCTATTATTCACTTTCAACATCACTCCCTTCATACAGAATTTAGAAAACTAAGTCAATTAAGCACCCATCAAATAAATATTTTGTTACTTGTCCAAAATGTTTCATTTTCAAGCATAAAAAGAAAACAAAATTTCCAAAGCACTTTTCAACATTTAGAACAATGTCTTTCATAAAGATGGTTTCTCTGTTTTCTCTAGCATGGCTCTCACTATTGCTCAGAACTGGGAAAGGCCAGCATCAGCAAGCTAGTGACAAGTACTGAGAAGAATAGTCCTCCATCTGTCAAGCTGACTACATTCCCAGAATGTATCAGACTTCTTCATAGGATATCCTGAATGAAGTATTTAAAAAAGATGGTGAGGGGGAAGTAATGCTAAAAGGGCCACATTTCATTTCTACCACCGATACTGCCAAAAATTAAATGTCCATAATCAATAGAAGAGAAGAAAAAGAAAACCACTACTTTTCACTCTTTAGATCCTAAACACTTTTCCTGACTTCAACGTATCTCCTCTTAGGACAACTTTCTTATGCACCAAGTAACAATCTTTACCAACTTAGAAACTTGACATTCACTGGCAAGTGAATCATTTCAACACTGTCACCCTCAGATACTGAAAGGCATCGTGAACAGTCATTCCAGATAGGGAAATCAATTAAAAGTATCCAAATACCTAAAGAATTACACCTTTCAATCTGATTAGGAACAGGCTGCAAGGACGCAAACCTAGAGTCGGGTCTGCAGCTCTTCAGTTTCACGAACAGCGCCTTCTTCAGGGCACAAGTGAAGTAGCGCGTGCCCCTGAAAGTTCCATCAGTACAGCCTGCACACTCATCTTCCTGAAAAAGAAAGGCTTTGGTATGTGTTACATGGCACCTCGCAAATAAAGCAGAGAAGAACTATGGAGTTTCCACTTTCTCTGAATTCCTTTTTCAAATCTGTACTGCACAGAAGAGCAAAAGGGACTGACTAACTGGTCCTCAGCTAGTGGCTTAAGAAAACAATTCTTCAGCTCACCGGGAAGTACTTGATGCATTTCCTTTCAAAATAGGCACTTAGAACTTCCCTGTTTACTGACTTGCCCTCAGCCATTTCAGAAGTATTAAAATCAAGGGGCAGGAGTAGGTAAATTATCTAGTTCCTCACCAGCAAGAAAACAATTGAAAACCATATTTAGGTAATAGCTAAGTTTATTCAAGTTCCCCCTCCTGCTTATGAAATATCACACAATATGCTTTTCTAATATTCGAAGATAAACCTTCCCCTCTCCCAAAGACCTCCAAATATGATGATGAGCTTTAAAGTCAGTCCCATCCCTCAACTGACTGCCACGGGAGGAGGCTAAGGAATGAGAAGAAGGCTGGTGACAGAATGCTTTCTTTGCTGCCTCTGTTTGCATGTGGAGGCTAAATAGTGCAGCCTCAAAATCAGTCTATTCCTTGATCACAGACACACATGAGGAATAAGGGGGCCCGAAGCCTGAGGAATGCAATGGGTGAAGCCAAGCAACACTGTAGAAAATGTTTCCTCTACTACTGGCTTTTTTTTTTTCTTTTTTGACAAATAAAACCATTTCCCAAAAATTATCTAATAGGGGGAAAACCTCATGCAGAAAAGTTGTAGATTTTAGATCAAAATAAATTACCAGTTCCAGTCCAGCTAGCACGTCACTCAGCCCTGGAGGCTGGCCAATCCAACGGATAACCCCATAGAACGGGGGGTTCTCTTTCACTTCAGCTAGCGAGCCCACCTCCAGACCGTGTGCATTACCAGAAGAGATGGGCAAGGGTGGACTCTCCTGGACAGGTGTGCTGTTCAGCTCCCCCATCACAGACTGCACTGACAATGAAAGCGGGCTGTGAGCAATGCTGCCATTGGTATTGGGCATCTTTGTCAGGCTGAAGGGTAAAGAGTGAAATCTGTTCTCGCTGGATAAGGAATTCATGGAAGGAGGTTGCGGTGGAGATGATGAATGTCCAAAGTCTGGAGACAGCTCTGTAAGTGACTTTGCAGGGTCTTCTGCAACTATGAAAAATTGTCCTTAATTAGAAAAAGTTGTTCAAGAACACTAAATATGCCTGCGTCTCTAAAAACAATCCAAAGCTCTAGTTTAACTGACCACATGACCCCTCTGCAAGTCTGCTCACAACACTGTAAACACACTGGCTCTGAATAATGTTCTTGTTTCTCTTCTATACCTCCAAACATTTGTCTCAGTAATCTGGCACCCAATTGCTCATCTATGCCTGTTCAGTATCACATATGTTATATTCTTTGCCCATAATATGATTAAGTTAGAAATTAATATGAACATAAACAACAAGTTAAGTAACAATTCTAAATAACTCATGGATCAAAGAAAAAAATAAATTTTAAAAATAAAGAAAAAAGACACCGGGTGTGGTGGCATACACCTTTAATCCCAGTACTGGGGAGGCAGAGGTAGCCTGTGAGTTCAAGGCCAGCCTGGTCTACAGACTGAGTTCCAGGATAGGCTCCAAAGCTACACAGAGAAACCCTGTCTCGAAAAACAAGGAAGGAAGGAAGGAAGGAAGGAAGGAAGAAAGGAAGAAAAGAGAGAGAAGGAAAAGAGAGAGAAAAGAAACCAAAGAATAAAGAACATTTGTGGAATACAGGTAAGTAATGCTTTTACAAGAAAACTATTGACAGCTTATTTTAGAAAAAAATAAAAAGCTAGGTATTAATTAACTCACATATAACTTGGTATATCAGAAAGACAAAACAAAAAGAGAACAAAGATTAATGAAAGAGGGAAAAAAGAATTAAAAAGCTTAAGTCAAAATAAAACCAAGAAATAACTCAAGAAAACAAACTTCCAGTAAAGAAAACAGTCAAAAGTTGTGACTAATGCAGCTGGCAGGCAGACACTGCTTCTCAGTGGAAAGAACGACCTTTTTAATAGTGTTGAGATAATCAATAAGACATATGTTTAAAAGCACTAGGGGCTGGAGAGATGGCTCAGCAGTTAAGAGTGCTGACAGGTCTTTCAGACATCTGTGTTTGGTTCCTAGCACTCACATGGCAGCTCACAATTGCCTGTCACTTCAGTTCCAGTGGATCTGATTCCTTCTTCTAGCCTCTGTGGGCTCCTGCATGCATGGGGTACACATGAACTCACACAAGTGCAAGCACACACACACATTAAATTTTAAAAAAATTAAGCTGGGACTAGGAATATACTAGGAGCTTTGAGGGCAAGTGTGAGGCCCTAAGTTCAGGTCCTAGCATGGTAAAGCAAAACCAAACAATAACAACAGACCAATAAACCAGAATCTTATTCATACTCTGCAAAAGTCAGATCCAGATAGCATAAAAAAAATGTGACTGGCAAATGTGTTTAGAATACAATACAGAACAATGTTCTTTATGACTTCAAGAAGAGAGTAATTAGATGTAAACCCGTAAGGAGAAATGACAAATAGCATTTGACAAATAGTTGGCTAAAATTAAGAACCTGTTCATGAAAAGGGGCTGTAGCTGAGAGTGGCCTTGAGCCAAAGGAGATAACTTCAATAAATGGGGGGGGACGACAAAAGATATGAAAAGGTAATTCACAGAAGAAACTCGAGTAACCAATAAACCAATGAGAAGATCCTTGCCCTTACTAGTAAACAGGTTAAGTGAATACCCAAACCAACATGAGATGTCATTTCAAAAGCTATGGATCTTAAACGTACTCTCATCCTTTGTCAGAGAATCTTCTCTTTGTAGTGAGCAGAGGTAAGTACAGGCTCATGGATACCTACCACACTTATAATACACAACTGCTGAGTATTTGGCCTTAAACAGGACATTTATACAACCTCCTTTAAGGCTCAAGGAATAGTGCGGAAGAGAGTAGAGAAAAGAATGAAAGAGATGGGCTGGAGAGATGGCTCAGTAGTTAAGAGCACTCATTGTTCTTCTAAAGGTACTGAGTTCAACTCCCAGCAACCATATGGTAGTTCACAACTGTCTGATACCCTCTTCTAGTGTGCAGATGTACATGCAGACAAAGCATCCATATACATTAAAAAATAAATAAATAGCTGGAAGAAAACAACATACATATGATCTTTTTTTTTTTTTAATTTGAAACAGGGCACCATGTAGCTTAGGCTATCCTCCAAGTTCCTATATAGTCAAGGCTATCCTTGAACTCCTCTACTTCTCAAATGCTGAAATTACAAGCGCGTACCATCATATCCAGTTTTCCATGTAAGTCTTTTAAGACAAATTTTATTTCACGAAATTATTGAACAATACATCAGATTCTAGTACATCAAGAAGTTATGAATATTCTAGTTGTGGTAGTTTGAATGAGAATGGTCCCCACAGGTTCATATATTTGAATGCTTAGTCACCATGGAGTGAAACTGTTTGAGAAGGACAAGAGTTAGGAGGTGTGGTCTTACTGGAAAAGGTGTGTCACTTTGGGTATCACTGTGGGTGGGCCTTGAGGTTTCAAAAGCCCATACCAGCCCCAGTCTCGTTTTCTCTGTCTGCTGCCTACAGATCAGGATGTAACAGTCTCAGCTACTGTTCCAGTGTCATGACTGTATGTTTCCCACCATGATGATTATGGACTAACCCTCTAAAACCACAAGTAAGCCCCAGTTAAATGATTTCCTTTAAAAGAGCTGTCTTGGTCATGGTGTCTCTTCACAGCATAGAACAGTAGCTAAGATACTAGTACAATACGGAATTTGTACTAATAAAAAGAGAGATGAAGTTACAGCATAAATTGGAAGAATTAACACTGTCGAGATTATGAAAGCCTCTATCTCCATTAGCTCCTTTGTCTTAGGAATCAATCAGCATCTTGGAAAGCATCTGTGAAGCTGCTTGGAATGACAGGGCATGATCAATCTTGTTTACATCATCCTGGATGGTCCCCATACACATCCAGAGACCAGCAGTACCTGGAGAGGCCAAAGTCCTACTAGGCACTCTCCAGAAGTTAGAGAGCTGAGAATTGGTAGTATAGACCACTCCTAACCAAAGTAACCCACCAGGAGACAGGCCCACCTAAAGGAATGCCATTTAGACACACGTCCTACTGTGAGCAAGGGTAAATTCTTGAGAGAGATGGCCATGCTGCCTATGCTCATAGAACCTACCTCATTCAGTGTAGGAATCAGATGTGGAGAATACCCACCCGAGTCACTTTCTGTGTAAGGATATATGTAACCTATGTCATGCAACTGCAGATTTTTTTTTTTTTTTTTTTTTTTTTTTTTTGGTTTTTTCGAGACAGGGTTTCTCTGTGTAGCTTTGCGCCTTTCCTGGAACTCACTTGGTAGACCAGGCTGGCCTCGAACTCACAGAGATCCGCCTGGCTCTGCCTCCCGAGTGCTGGGATTAAAGGCGTGCGCCACCACCGCCCGGCCGCAACTGCAGATTTTTACTGTGTGTTTTAGCCTATAACTGAATCGATATGGTAAGTAGTCATCATAGAGACTTACAATACTACAAATCCATGTCTTCATTTAGTTTACTGAATCCACTGAATACCAAGTACTGTAGAAGCACTAGGAACTTATAGAAAAGACAGGCAAGTAACCAAAACCACTTCAAGGACATTTAACCTACTAACCTAAGAGAGTGGATGAGTACAGGGGGGAAAAGCTTCAGTTTAAGAGGTGAACAGTAGTTAGCCACAATGTTAAACTGGAGGAACTAGAAGGATTTCCAGGCAATTGATTATATGCACAAAAGGGAAGAAAGTGGGGAAAGACAGACAGACACACATACACACATACAAGGAAGAAACTCAAGCTTCTTGTCCTATCTCAATTGCTTCACTCCATATCCTCAGCTCACCCCAATCAATCCTCTGATGAATTATCCCCATGACAGAAGTGACTGGGGTCAGTCACTTCCAGAGGCTGGATCAGATGAACTTTATGTGGGCTTCACTTCACATGCCCTCTCAGACAATTCAAGACTGCTGTCTACTTACTCAAAGCACTCTTGACCCAACAGTCTCTTGGTTTTCCCCAAAGCCCCAATGTTACTCTTCCTTACACTCCATTAACAACTTATCTTCCTCCAATCCCAGCCATTAAGTCCTTCAACATTTCGATCCCTGCCCCCTCTCACTGTTATTCAAAGAACTTGAATCCTCCTGTGTAAAGACAACCTACAAATGTATTTCTCTAGCTCTTACTTCTCTTCCATGCTATAAACCTATACATTCAACTGTCTACTTAATGATTCACTTCTGGGAAGCTTTAAGGGACCCTCTAATGAAAGATGTTCAAAATCAAATTCATCACCTACTTCCTGCCATCTAAGTACATGATCCAGAAAACCAAGGGTCACCACTGGTATGTCTTTCTTCTACAACTATTGCATTCAATCTACCTATAACTCCTTTCAGTCCAACTCTCAATCTCCCTTTATATCAATTTACTTCTATCTCTTCCCCCAAGTCTTATCTCAGAAATTATAATCAATTACTGGGCCCTATAACAGCCTTCAGTGGTATCTACTTATTACATTCACTTCAGTCTACTGTCTGCCTATACCAGAATGCCATTTCCAAAAGGCAAACCTTGTTATGCCACTCTTTACTAAAATTTGTTCAGTGGCTCTCCATTTCCTTTCAGAGGGTTATAAATAGGCTGCATGTAGCCTGACCCGGTTGGCTGTTCCCTTCATCCTTTGGATCTTTCTAGTCTACTAGGCTCCATTCTTCTCAGAGGTCCTTATATATGCTATTTCTATGGCCTAGCATTTGACATTCCTCTTGTTGCACCATTTCCCTGGTGTCCTAGTTAGTTTTCTGTCAACCTGACACAAAGTAGAGTCATTTGGGAAGAGGAACCTTAACTGAGACAATTACTCCATCACATTACAGCCTACAGGTAAGCCTGTAGAGAATTTTCTTGATTAATGATTAATGTTGGAGGGCCCAGCCCACTGTGGGCAGTGCCACCCCAGGCAGGTCCTGAGTTGTATAAGAAAGCAAATTAACAAGCATTAGGAACAAGCCAATAAGCAGCGTTCCTCTATGGCTTCCACTTCAGGTCCTACCTCCAGGTTCCTGCCTTGAGTTCCGGCCCTGACATACCTCAGTGATGCAATGTCACCTGGAAGCAGGAGATGAAATGAACCCTCTCTTCCACAAGTTGTTTTATAACAACACGAAGAGACCTGACTGCCCTTTGACCTCTCTAGCACCAAGGCCTGTCACTGCACTCATCAGCCCTGCAATGCTACATAGCTGTGTCTGATGACTGTCTATCTTAACAATTCAACCACAACTTCAACCAGGGCAAGGGCTGTATCTATTTTATTCTGTCGCAGTAACCTGAGAATGTCTCAATAACTATTTGCTGAACAGATGAAGGAAATGAATACATGAGAGGAAAATATGTCTAAGAAACAAGAAAAGGTAGTGTATTTTAAAGGAAGTAAGATAGGAAAGTCTTTAAATGAGTCATTTCATTTCGAGAAACCTTTGATCCTAAGCAGATGTATTAAGAGATAAGAACAGACTGCTGGGCATAGTGGCACACTTTTAATTCCAGCACTCAGGAGGCAGAGGCAGGTGGATCTCTGTGAGTTTGAGGCCAGCCTGGTCTATAGAGCAAGTTCCAGGACAGCCAGGACTATTATACAGAGAAACCCCGTCTCAGAAAAAAAAAAAAAGAAAGAAAGAAAACCAGACTACTAACACATTTCAAATGCATACTCAACCCTAACAGCAGTGTAGTTTAAACTATGTTTACTATTTAGTTCAGCAATATTGGCATATTAGCAACGATCTATTCATAGTTTCCAAAAATTACAAATATTGATGAAAAAGCCTTTTCCCTTACATATTAAACAGAGGGAATCATTATAAAGAAGACTAAAATTATAGATTACCTTCATCAATGTACCATGGATTTTTGGATTTGGATTGTTGTTGTGAATCAACAGATGATCCATTTAAGTTATAAAATAATTCAGATCTGCTTCTACTTCCAGGGTCTGAGGTAGATCCTATGGAACAAGAAAAATTCCTTTTTTAAAAAGCCAGTATGTTATAAAAAGGCATTTTATAAATAAATTAATATGCATATGGTATACCAACTGCTCAAACAACTAATATATATACATATTGTATTGTCTTCAGTTTTAAAAGTTTAGTAGTCAACACATAAGAGAGCAGGAGCAAGTTAAAGCCTGGTCATTTTTATATTAAATCTCTAAGAAACCATTCTGGTAGGCAGTGGTAATACATGCCTTTAATCCCAGCACTTAGGAGGCAGAGACATGCAGATCTCTACTAAACAAGGACACCAAGGACTATGCATAGAAACTCGGACTTGGAAAACAAAAAAGAAATCATTCCATGTAGTCTATTTCTCAATGTCACCTCCTCTATTTTCATTTGATGAAACTACTAGCTTACAAATTTAACCTATAGTTGAGTGCAGCTGGACATCATACCATATAACAGTGGTTCTCAACCTTTAATGCTATGACCCTTTAATACAGTTCTTCATACTGTTGTGATCCCCAACAATAAAGTTATTTTCATTGCTACTTCATAACTGTAATTTTGCTACTGTTATGAATTGTAATGTAAATATCTGTGTTTTCTAATGGTCTTAAGCAACCCCAGTAAAAGGGTCATTCAGGGGTCACGACTCACATGATGAGAACCCCTGCCATATAAGGACATTTCAGTCAACAAAAACAAACATGCAGCAGTGTTACAGAGCCCCGATTTGCACAAAGTTCTTTCACCAAGGTTTGTGAAGTGCATTCTATGATGGTCACAGAAAACACAACTGCCTAATGATGCACTTCTCAGAATGCATCCCATTTTTAAGTGACTCGTGATTATAATTCCCCTTCATAATCTTCAAATGCTATAATACAAACTCATGAACAAATTAAGTTAAAAAAAATTCAGGTTTAGGGTGTGTGTGTGGCTCAGTAGTAGAGTCTTGGATTAGTTTGTGTAAGGTGCTAAATTTGATCCCAGCACCAAAAAAAAAAAGAGTACCTTCAGTGTCTGGAGCAATACCTGAGTAGTAAAGTACTTGCCTAGCCATGTATAAGGTTCTGACTTTGACCCCCAACATTACAAAAGAAATAATTTAAATTTTTTTAGATTTACTACATAAACATCTTAGAATTTTATTAATAAAATTTCTAGTTTTTTGCAGTTTCAGGGAACGGACCCTTGGGGACCTCTGGAGCAGCAGGCCCTGTGCCCTGGGTGGGGATGCAGTGGAATATCCAGCCTATGTCTGTCAATGGCCCCAGCAATTCAGCCAGTGACCCAGGTGACCAGTGGTAGTCCCCTCAGGAGGTGGCATGTTCAGCTCAAGCCAAGACTGTGAAGCCCAAAGGTGAGAAGCCAGATGACTTCAAGTCTGGCATCTCTCATGCACTGCTCAAGCTGGAGATGAACTCAGATCTCAAGGTGCAGTTAGGGAACTCAACATCACCACAGTCAAGGAAATTGAAGTTGATGGTGGTCATTAAGCCATCATATTTTTAGTACCAGTTTCTCAGCTGAAATCTTTTCAGAAAATTCAAGTCTGGCTAGTACATGAATTAGAGAAAAAGTTTAGTGGGAAACATGCAATCTTCAATGCTCAGAGGAGGATTCTGCCCAAGGCAACTCAGAAAAGTTCTACAAAAAATCAGCAAAAATGCCCAGAAGCTGCACCCTGACACAGCAGTGCTCAGACGCCATCCTTGAGGACTTGGTCTTCCCAAGTGAAATTGTAGGTAAGAGGATCCCTGGGAATGGATGGCAGCCAGCTCCTGACGGTTCATTTAGACAAAGCTTGGCAGAATAAGTGGAATACAGGTTGAAACTTTTTCTGGGGTATATAAGAAGCTCACAGGCAAGAGTGTTAATTTGGAATTCCCAGAGTTTCAGTTGTAAAGAAAATAAGTGAATAAAGTGTCATTCATAGCAAAAAATAAAGAATAAAATTTCTTAAATTCCACAAGTCTGAAAAAATGAAGTACCATAAGTCCTCACAAATTAGATTTATTGTAAGACAAATTATACTGGAGATTAATTATGTGGGTCTTGATAACTAGATGTTATGCAAGTTGACTTCTAAAATGCTAAATAAAAGGCCAGGCAGGTGGCACATGCCTTTAATCCCAGCACTCAGGAGGCAGAGCCAGGCGGATCTCTGTGAGTTCGAGGCCAGCCTGATCTACAGAGCGAGATCTAGTATAGGCACCAAAGCTACACAGAGAAATCTTGTCTCGAAAAAACAAAACAAAAAAACAAGCAAACAACAAAAAAATGCTAAATAAAAATGCATTTCTCTCCAGAAACTTCCCCATGGTAGATGTAGAGAACACATAACTCTCTTTCTGTTAGTTTCCACATATCTCATAGGTTATAACAGCGTTTTTCAACCTATAGGCAGCAACCCCTTTGGGAGTCACATATCAGACATCCTGCATATCAGGTATTTACATTATGATTCACAGCAAGAGCAAAATTACAGTTATGAAGGAGCAACGATGGTTGGGGGTCACCATAACATGAGGAACTGTATTAAAGGGTCACAGCATTTTGAAGGTTGAGAACCATTGGTTTATAGGGTGATTGGTAAATAAGAAGAAATTATACCTGCATCACAAACAGGTATAGACACTTCTCTGTCTCTGTATTAACTACAAAGACACACCTCATTGGTGATTAGTAGGAATTCCACAATTCATACTGAAGCCAATTGCTTTTCAATTTAAAGCAAAAAGCTCTGCACCTCATAGCTTAACTCATACCTTATGTGGTACTCCTGTAGCCAGCTACTCAGAAAGCTAAGACAGAGGACCATTACCTGAGTTCAGAAGTTTAAAGTCAGCATAGGAAACTTATTAAGACCCTCATCCACAAACAAGAAATCTATAGCTTTTTTTATATTTGAGAGTAGTGATCTTATGGTATCTTTTCTGTGTGTGTGAGATCTCTCTCTTTTTTTTTTGAAGAGAGTCTCTGTTGGCCTGAAATTTGCCAATTAAGATAGGCAGACTGGCTGGCTAGTAATGGCTAGCAAGTCTCAGGAAGCTCCATGTCTCCATGTCCCTAGTATTAGGTCCAAAGGAAACTCTTAATTTTCCCAACTCCAAAAGGCAGTCTTGGACTATAGGAGGATTTCTGGTGGTTAGATAAAAGCCAGCACTCCTTAGGAACTTGTGACGCCAGTTCCTCTCTACCAAAAGGAGCCATTTCCCTAAACACAGGCAGAAGAGACAAATGGTTATCTATAGTGTCTAGTAGCATACCAAAGTACATGCTGGCCTCCTGGCTCCCTCAATATCACAAGTACCTGTTACACATTTCACAGCCCATGCTAGCATCCTAGCTTTTCTCACCTCGTCCCGACCCTAAACTCCCTCCAGCTCATGGACTTCCCTGCCCCCAGCTACCCATTGTTCTCCACATAAAGGCAAGATGTTCCCCAGTCCCCACTACTCTCGCTGTTCTTGCAGATAGCCCTGGTCATGCCCAGTCTGCTTCTCTTTCTCTCTGCTCTGGACTCAGATGCCCCTGGATGTTCATTCTCTCTCTCTCCCTCCCTCCCCCTTTCTCTCCCCTCCCCCCTGTACAGGGTTTCTCTGTATAGCCTTGGCTGTCCTGGAACTTGCTTTGTAAACCAGGCTGGGCCTCAAACTCAGTGCTGGGATTAAGAGCATGTGCCACTACCAGCTATTCTCTCTCTTATCCACAATAAAAAACTCCCCCCACAACTCACGGGGTAGTCATTTTGATGGTTTCTTCATACTCACTTATAATCATGTACATAAAATTTTAATTTACATAAAATGTCTGAACAAATTATATGTATGTACATACACATGCATAATAGCATATAGCTTATTTAACATCTAAGAAAATCAGATTACCACGTAAACTACCGAGAATGGCATCCATACCTGTAACCTTTGGTTTATTATGACTAGATGAAGCTTTGTCACCAACACCTCTTGACATAAAGGCAAGTTTGGGAGGTCTCCTCTCCTGTGTCATGCTATCTGAAACAGTAAACATACCTTTTAAATAAATTCATATGGAAGATAAATAGTTTAGCAATTAATGACAACAGCATAAACAAAACAAAGAAATCCTTTCCAAGAACAAAAATAAGGCACAATCTTTACAGTCTTACAGATTCTCTCTCTCTCTCCTTTTTTTTGGGGGGTGGGAGGAGAGAGACAGGGTTTCTCTGTATAATAACCCTAGCTGTCCTGGAACTCACTTTGTAGACCAAGCTGGCCTCAAACTCAAAGAGATTTGCCTGCTGCTGCCTCCCAAGTGCTGGGATTAAAGGCGTGCCCCGCCGCCACCACCAGCTGACACATTCTCTTTAAGATTCCAAAGTACTGAAAAGTAATTTCTCAGGGAAAAAAACATCAACACTGTACTTAAAAATGTAATTTCTACAAGAAAATACACTCCTCAGTTATTAAAATGCTTTAAATTTTAAAAAGTCAGATGCAGTCAATTTTATTTGATGTTTTAAAAAGCTTTAAAGAAAACCTTATTCATAATTTTTGTTGCATTTTCCACATCAGCATGCCCAGCACAGCCTACATATTACAAAGTGTTTTACACTCAAGCAATTATGGAAGGTGCTGAGATAAATAAAGATGGTCAATTTATTTACTGGAAAAACCAGAATCTTTACATGCTAACGTGTCTGGCTAATCTCTAAGCGATGTGATATACTAAACTGACTTGATAAAACTTTTTGTGCCACTCTCATGAGTATCTTGAATTAACGTATTTCACAGAACACAGCTTGATAAAAGCCTGGGAAGGAGACAGATCAGAGTTAGGAACGCACGCAGTAGTAAATATGTTTCCACTTTTAAACACACAACATTAAGAACAACACAGATATGTATACAAACAAATGTAAACAGGAAAAACAATTACATACAAATCAATGATGCAGAAAGCAGAGACACACAACTAAATTTTTGAAGGAAGTTTCACTTCAAAGCACAGATAACAAAAAATTTTGGCAAATTTCTTTTAGATTAAAAGATCTTCCTAAACCTCAAAACCTGGTAACATTCCTGACACTCATAAACACTGATCAAATAAACACAGAAGAGTCAAGGTGAAAGGTTCCCCTCAGGAAGTTCAACAGCACATCCATGAACTGCAACACGATGCTGAGGAGCCATACCTGATAAAGCTGTTATCATCAAAAAACGGTATCACCCACAGTGGAATTTTGAGGACAGAAAGAAAAACAGGAAAATTTTTATATTTTAAACACAGAAAAGGCCACTTAAAATAAAATAGGGAGTCACATTGAATTAATTGTATGTAAATAATGCTTGATATCTTTTTTCCATGGTTGGATGAGGAGGGAAATACATATTAAACTATATGTCTTAAACACTTCAAAATACGATCACATGGAATACTGAGATATCATTTCAATTGAAAATATACTGACTAACCATAATTTTTAAAGATGATATAATGAAAGAAATAATAGAAATGTTTTTATGACATTACCATTCAGATATCTACAAATGTCATCTATGACAGTTTTGTAGGAAAAATAACTCTTTATCATTGGAGGAAGGTTCCAAATTATAGCATATAAGCTGACTAAAAATAACTAATGCCCACTGTCAATTGTAACTAAGAGTATGTAATTCCATTTCAAAAGAGACCACCAACCATATGGATACCATAATATATGCATATACACAGATTGAATCATTGTAACAAATGCAGCCAAGGGTCCTCCTTCCTTTGTAAGCTGTAAAGAGGGCCAAGCAAATTAGGCTGAAATGGATGAGACATGATGCCAGCTCTGTTCATGATGGAGGTGATTTTCCAAGTTCTAGGAGTGGGAAACCCACAGTTATCCTTCCACCAAAGACTTTGGGGGATAGGGTCAAACATCAACCTTTTGAGGAATAGAACATCCCAATAAGATTCCATACAGTGAGAAGGGTCACACAGCACATCTATTTTGTCCAAAACAATAATATAACAAATATTCCCTAATATTTTGTCAAACCTATGTTTATAATCCAAAATTCACTTGGATCATAAAGCAAATTTGGCTTGATGGCTTAAATTTGAAGAGCTTACTAATATAGGATGTAGTGAACAGGGTGAAGAATAAATTTAACAGACAATTTATAAAATTGAAATTATCATGATTAAAGATATTCGAGGAAATAAGGTAAGTCAACCCAACAGCACACCAAAATGCATACAGCAACCCTATTCATAATAACTAAGGGCTGAAAACAATCTATTCTATAGAACAGATAAACTGGAGGTACATAAAATTGTGAGCTGGAGATACAGGTCAGTGGTAGAGCACTTCCCAGCATGCTCAAAGCCCTGGGTTCAATCCCTGCACCGAAACAAAACAAAACTTCTAAGGGATCATTTTGAGAGTTCACTAAAAATGTGGTCTATTAATACAATGTACTACTACATAGCAATAAAGTGGAGCAAACTACTGCTACACACAACATGAACACTGTGCTGAGCAGAAGAAACCAAGTATACACAACACACACACAGCAGGACTGCATTCAAAATGACAAAGCTAGGAACTTAGTCATTACTCTTGTTGGATCTGTAAGAAAAGGGTCTTTTGGAGATTCTTGGGTTGAAATTCTTAACAATAAGAGAGTGAACAAGCTATTCAAACCAAACAAAATGTCTATAAATTTGAATAGCCCTTTAAATTGAAAGCAGTCATTTAAAATGATGTACTGCTCAGCATCATCGGTCACAGAGCACAATTCAAACCCAAATGAGAATTTAACATGTACAAAAAAATGGGGGTATTAGAAAACCTGATGCCAGGTATGCTATGCATAGCAATTATCTAAATAATCTCTGTAAGATTGGATGACTAATCAGAATAAATATTTTAGATAATTGTATATAATAATTATATCTGCATGGAATCTTACAGGTAACATCAGAGTTACCTGATGAGCTCTGGTACCTCAAACCATTCTTCCTTTGGGCTCTGTCTCCCATGACCAGAAGTCATGCCTACATAGAAGAAATTCCAGAACAGGCAACTTGGAGAGACAGAAAGCAGATTCACAGTTGCCAGGATCTAGAGGGAAACTACTACTAGACATGGGTAACAGGGTTTCTATCTAGGATGGTAAAAACAGTCCTTGAGCTACATGATAGCAATAGATGTACAACACCCTAAAGGCACTTAACATTGATGAATTATGCTTTAATAGAGTAACAGTACTGATATATGAATTATATTTCATGTTTTAAAACTAAGAAAAATTTCCAAATATAGAACTAAGTAAAAGTTGTTGGACTTAATCCCAAAAGTAAACCATGTGAAAAAGATAAGACAAAGTAGAAACTAGGAGAAAATATTTGCAAATCATATGCAACAAAGGGCTAGTGTCTATATTTTTTTTAATTGATATAACTCAACAACAAAATAGCAAATAGCCCAATTAGAACCTGGCCAAAACAGATAAAAATATATTTTACTGAAGAATATAAATATATGACATAATCTCATGAAAAGATGTTCAATATCATGAGTAATCAAGGAAACAACACTACAATGAACTATTAACCACATATTTCTCAGAATAGCTAACATGAAAAGCAGCTACGCTGGTGAGGAAAAACTGGATCAATCATTCATATATTTCCAGTGGTCATGTGACACCATACAGTCATGCTGTAAAATAGTGTATCCGTTTCTTTAAAAGCTTACTGTAAATAGTGGTACCCTGTGTGGGTAGACCAAGTTCCTTTCAGAAGTCATAGGTTATTAAATGAAAATCCCAGTGCCAAGGGTGTGAGCTACTTCCATTTGAGTTGCTCATCAGGAAGGTGCCTTCAGTCCCTAAAATAGCACAGGCAATTGCCACTACTGGTGGTTGCCCACCAGATTTAGATGATAAAACTTTACTGCTGAAGATACCATATGCCCTGGTCACAGAGCATACAGAAATCAAACTGGAACTGAGCTGTGACCTTCCTCTCTGCTAACTATTCCTCCTAGTGCAGAAAATGTAATGCAGGCTGCTAGGGGAAAACTATAATCAATAGTCTTATTCAGCTATTTACCCTGTGTGTAACAACACTGACTGGCCAGGCAAGATGAGCTCACTAGCACAACAGTGGCAAGTCTATTATGGGGTAACCAATAGTTTCCTGATTAGGTTTGGAGCCTACTCTACAGGAGGGAACTCACATCTCATACTGTAAAATTAATCAAAGGCCCTTGGTTAAGGGGGTCATAAGACAGTGCAGAAACTACTGCTGCTGTTTTGTTAAATGGACAAGATGTGACTCATGAATTGTCTTCTAAATAATTTATGTTGTGGTCAGAGAAACTTCCTTTTGCAGTGGTAAAAAAATACTGAGAAGAAATGGCTGCTGAATGTCCAACCACAAATGGGACATATATAGATATAATGCTGACTTCCAGGTTGCTGTACTCTTGAACTTACAGCATCTATGATACCTTGCGTAAGATGTGCATGAGATTGGTCTGTCATGGAAGGGAAAAGACTCATGGGATCCCACCCTTCCTAAGGATTTATACATAGTCAGTGGTTCATAGGAGAGGGAGAGACATTTTTCCCCAATGGTACAGCCACAGGTAAGGCACACATGTTCCTATAGCAACCCTAAAGAAACTCAGTAAGTCACACACACACAAAAGACATTAAGCTGGACAGTTGTGGTGCCTTAAATCTCAGCACTTGGGAGACAGAGGCAGGCGGATCTCTGTGAGTTTAAGGCCAGACTGGTCTACAGAGCAAATTCCAGGATAGGCTCCAAAAGCTACATGGAGAAACCCTGTCTCAAAAAACCAAAAAAAAAAAAAAGCAAGACTAGTAGGATTACCAGGGGTGAGAGGGGTCAAAAGAGGGTTGAAATGCATTACATGTATGAAAATATTATTATGTATAATTAATACTCACTAATAAAATATTCTTTAAAAAGCTTACTATGGAAATAACATATAATCTACAACTACACAAAGGAA